AATCTATACCCAAAGCCAACTAGATAAGGCCCTAGTTCAGTCACTCTCCCCTACCTAGGACGCACCTCCCACCACATCCAGCATATCCTGAGCAAGTACAACATCAAGGTGTTCCACACAGCTCCCCTCAAGATCCACGGGATGCTGACTTCCCATAAGGACAGGCAAGATCCACACCGCCGACCAGGTATATACAAGATCCCCTGCCAGTGTGGCGAAGTGTACATCGGAGAGACTAGTAGGGACCTCCCTACCAGGATCAAAGAACGCAAAGCCCATGGCAGGAAGGGGGACTATGAGAAGTCAGCCATCATCAAGCATTCCCACGCCGAAGACCACTCCATCAACTGGGAAGAAGCCCACCTCATCGCAAGCATAGAACAGTGGTACCCAAGACGCATTAGAGAAGCCTTGGAAATCTTCAAACACCTTACCGTGCTTCAAGACATCGGCTTCTCCATCAGCGACATCTGGCAGCCCCTGCTCACCTCCTGGTCTGATGGGTCCTCTATACCCTAGGCCCCCTCTCCCATGGGTTTTCTATACCCAGGCAACCTTCCCCCGCCACAGCCTATCACCAACTGACATGCATCAGTACCCAGGTGGATCCACCAGCTGCATCCTCGTTCCACCTGACTACACGGACGGATCCGTCACACTCCAGTGCTCCAAGTCAGCTTATAAGCCCCACTCTCAGTCTCCTGACAACGGACAGAGCATACTGTCTGAAACGTTGAGTTCATCACGATTCTTTTCAGAACCATACAGACTCACCAAAGAGATTGTATCCTTGCATGGTGCTACTGCAAGCCTTCCACCTTAACACTGTAGTGCTTTTTCCTTTTAAAGTCACTTGATATTACCAGGTCATCAGTGCTTATGCTTCAAGAAAGTCAACAGTTTGTGCCTGTGGGGCCAGGGCCCGGAAGCGATGCACCTGGAAACGTGAAAGGTAATCGGCAATTTGTGTACCCCTGGGATATGCACGGCCTTAAATTGGATATTGAACCGCAGACACTGACACACAAAAGCTCCACTAAATGCATGATCTGGGCGCAAGTAGATGACTGTTGGTGCACTACTGCTCGATTTTCTGTGCGGAAAAGCACTTTGCGCTCAGCTAACTGGGAACCCCAACAATGCACTGCAATCACTAGTGGATAAAACTCGTATGCTATCGACGGGGATAGCGCCTTAAACTCAGGGGACCAACGCCCGTGAAACTATCGACCGCTGAAGTACCCACCCCACCAAACCCACTGCTTGCAGCAGCGTCTGTAAATAACTCTAAAGCGTCGTTGTCGCGCCAGTTCTGATCTCGGAATGGGGAAACCCCGTTGAAGTGTTCAGGGAAGTTTAACCACATAAGTAAGTCAAGTTTCGCGTCGTGAGATGGGCGGGCTTTGTGATGGGGCTTCCGCAGCCCGCGGGACATACCAATCAACCGACGAGTAAACGCCCGTCCTGGCGCAATTGCGCGGCATACAAAATTAAGCAGTACTTGGCAGTAGTGCTTGGACTTCCCAATAAAAAGAAATCTTCTAAATAATGGGTGACAGTTTAAGTGTTCGAATTTGCTTAAAGTGAAATTCCAGAAAGGTGCTAAATGCCTCAAAAAGTCTGCAGGACACCGAACATCCCATGGGTAAGCACTTATCGTAATAAAACTGATTGTGAAACTTGAAAGAAAGCAATTCATAATCAGAAGAGGCGACGGGAAGCAACCGAAAAGCCGACTTAATGTCCGTTTTTGCCAGCCATGTTGCTGAATCGGCGGACATCGCTAAATCGACAGCCGTATCGAATGATGCATAATGAACTACG